AGTTGAAAGCACAGGCTTTGGGGTCAGGCTGCGTGGATTCCAGACCTGCCTCTGCCATTTAATCCTTTGGAACCTTGATCAAGTTATTTAATCTCTCTGAACCTCAGCTTCTTTATAAAATGGGGACAGTAATAGCCTTTTAGATGGTTACAAGGATTAAATGAGTGTTTGGTGTGATATTTGGCCTGTAATAAGCACTCAGTCAATATTAGTTGTTAGCTATTCCCTCTTTCCATGCTCTTCCTTCCTTCTCTTCATTCTTGTTCTTTTCCCCTTTTATTCTTTCTTCTGAATCTTTAGTTCTGAGATGCCGCTTAGATTAAAGGCTGAGAAGAATGGGGAGGGGGGTTGGTGTCGTTCCACTGGCCCAGGTGAGCACATGATGATAAGATGATCAATTGTCTCTTCGTCTCTCTCCAGCCCACAGATGTGTTTTTATTCTAGGGAAGACACAGGATCTGCCCTCTCAGCCCCTTTCCTATTTTCCTCTGTCACACGAGTTCAGTCTCACCCCAAGGTGTCATGAGACCCACAGTTGTCCAGGCACTGCAGCAAGAGAGATGGGGGCAGGGGTGTTTCAGGAAGAAAAGTATACACATTGCACAGGGGAAGCTCAGGGAAGGGAGGGCTGTGGAAGTTCCATGGTAATTTATGTTCATTCCGTTGCTCTGTCCTCTGTGGGAACTGTCCAAAACAGTCCAGCGTCTGGATCCTGGCCAGGGGTCCCCATTCCAAGTTAAAGATGGTCAGTGCTCGCTTCGGTGGCACATATGCCAAGTGAAAGATGCTCATATACAGTGAGTTTTTTATTATTTAGGTTTTCCCATGCCAGTATTTGATTCCAGTTCCCTTTCGCCAGCCATACAGACAGCCTCTGCCAAGCTGTTCATCTCATTACAGGCCGCCTTTACCCAGAGAATTTATACAAATGTACCTGGGCACATGGTCGCACATGCACACATTTGCCTGTTTTAGGATATTCCCGTATGCAAAAACTGAATAAGGTTAAGGATGAGTCTGCATTCTGTCACAGCACTTTGTATGCAGGGCCCTGACTAGACACTCAAGAGGAGGCTTAAAAGGAGAAAACAATCCTCCAATGCGGAGAAATCTCCCGTGTAGGGAGACAGGCAGTCCTGTGGGAAACACCCAGCAAACATCCACAGAGTAGCGTGTCATCAGTGTCAAGTAGTGCAGCATTTATCCTGAGGGGACACGAGGAGGTAGGAGTATGTGTGTGTGTGGAGGATAATCATAAAGGTAATCTGAAGGGGGTGAATATTGGATCATCTTGAGCAAAGTGAGAGGAATAGTAGAGTAAAAGGAACCCATGGTGTATCCTAATAGTTGCTGTGCAGGGAGGAAGAGGGAAACCATTGAGTCGAGCTGAGCCAAGAACAGTAGATGGGTCATGTTGAAAGGCTTTGAATGTTAGGTGAGATTCTGTAGGGGGAGCGATAGGGAGCCACCACTAGTTCTCAGGGAAGGGTTTGGATCCTTGCTGATTTAACCACATGGGTAGCCGGGAATATGCTAGAGTGAAAAAACAGACCTGCTTCCTGTGGCAAGGAGTGTGCTGAAGGGGGTAGGACTGGAGGGCAGATTGGATCCAGTCCTGGCTCTGTCCTGACTGCTGTGGAGCCTGGGACTGATAATTCCCCTTAGTTTTCTCATCTGAGAAAGGAGACTACCTTGGGTGGTTGCCAGAGTCCCCTCCAGCTCTGACATTCTGTGTTCCCTGAATAACTAGCAGGCCTTACCAGTGGCTGTGTTTTGTGGGACCTGCCAAGACCATTCAGTCAACAAATACTAACACCTGTGTTCCAGTGGGGGGGCAGCGAGGAAAATACAATAGGGATAAGAGATCAGGGTGAGCCCAAACGGGCAAAGCCCCTGCCCCTTTACATTTAAGATCTAGTGGAGGCAGGGGCGCCCGGGTGGCTCAGTCGTTAAGTGTCTGCCTTTGACTCAGGTCATGATCCCAGGGTCCTGGGATCGAGCCCCGCATTGGGCTCCCTGTTCTGTGGGGAAGCCTGCTTCTCCCTCTCCTACTCCTCCTGCTTGTGTTCCCTCTCTCGCTGTGTCTCTCTCTGTCAAATAAATAAATAAAATCTTAAAAAAAAAAAAAGATCTAGTGGAGGCAGCAGATACTTCATTGATCCTAAGACTCCATTTAAAACATTCTTGTCAAGACATCTTAAAATCGATGGAGTATCATAATTTAAGTGGTGGCATTTGTTTTTTTTAGTGGCCACATAACATAACGGGACAGTCAGCACTGTGTAAGTAACTGTAAACTTCCAGTGGGTAATTGCTAACGGGAAGGGTGCGTGGGACACGAGCATGTAAAAGAGGGCTCTGACTAAGCCTAGACCACTGGCCTGGGAGGAAGCCTTTCCTGAGGAAGCGATGACTGGTAGATGTAGACCTGTAGGCTAGGTGTATGGGGTCTGCAGGAAGTTGTGCCAGGCAAAGATGCAGGCCTGTTATGGGAGAACTGAGAAGGGGGCCGGAGCACAGACCCAGGAGCTCAGCATGGATGAGGCTGGGAAGGCAGTTGGGAAGCAAACCTCCCACAGCGTTCCAGGCCCTGGGGAGGAGTTTTGGTCTCTACCCTAAGAACAGTCGGAGCCATCGAAGAATTTTTTTTTTTTTTTTTAAGATTTTATTTATTTGACAGAGAGAGTACAGATAGGCAGAGCGGCAGGCAGAGGGAGAGGGAGAAGCAGGCTTCCCGCGGAGCAGGGAGCCTAATGTGGGGCTCGATCTCAGGACCCTGGGATCATGACCTGAGCTGAAGGCAGACACTTAATCGCTGAGCCACTCAGGCACCCCAACCATTGAAGAATTTTAAGCAGGGAATAACATGATCTGAGGTGCATTTTGATGAGCTTGTTGTGGATGTAGGGAGACTACTACAGAAGGTCAGATGAAAACAAGAGGGGTGGTGGGGCGGAGGAGGAAATGGAGAGAAGTGGACGGATTCAAGAAATGAGTACGAGGTACAATTAGCAGGACTCAGTGACGTATCGACAGAGGGAGGTGTGGAGAACGACTCACCAGTTTCTATCCTAGACAACTGTATGGACTGTGGTGCCAATCTCAGAGGGGCAGTTCTGGAGCCTGGGAGGACCCAGAGATGGTTATATAGCATCTGGGAGGTCAGAGAGGATCCTAAGGCAGCTTGAGGTGGGCAAGTGTGGCACAGAGAATTGGATTTCCTCCCACACTGATTAATTTCTGATTTCCCATGCTAAGGACAGTTTCGGGCAGGAGCAGATCTGAATACAGGGCCGGAGTAGTTGAACACTGAGAAAGCTGATTCTAGGTAGAATAGTGTGGCTTATCCCCTTCTCACCTTAGGACAAGATGGGTGGGAAAGAGGAAGGACAGATACTATGAGAGGCAGGGATTGGAAAGCATCTTTAAATGTCAAGCCCTCTCAGCATAGGGGTCATGGGGGAAGTAAGGAAGTTGGGCAGCAGTGAGGTAGCCCCTCTTCAGCCAGCTACCACCTTTCCCTAGAACTCCTCCCTGGCACCCTCTAACCCTCAGGCAGAAGGAGGAAGGGCAGGGCCTTTTAGCTGCATCTCCAAGCCTCAGTTGACTTGAAAAGATTTTTTTTATTTTGAATGGGTAATATAGTCACATGGATGCATATTCAAAAGTTAGAAAAGGGCATACATACTGTGAGAAGTTTCCCTTCCCACCTCAGTCCTCCTTCTACTGATTTCTTTCTTGTATGTCGTCTTTTCTCTCCAGTTTTCATACAAATGATCCCACTTTGCTGCACTTTGCATTTTTTTCTGCTTGTTAATGTATCTTAGAGATTGCTCCTGTCGAGACAATGAACTTCTTCATTCTTTTTTTATGACTGCATAGTATTCCATTTTATGTTTGTGTATAATTTCATAGTTACCTAGTGATGGGTATTTAGACTGATTCCAATCTTCTGTTTTTACAAATAATACTGGAATGGAAACGTTGTATACACATCATTTTGGCCATATCTATAGGATGACTTTTTAGAATTGGGAGTGTTTGTTCCTTCATTTGTCTCTTCTTGCATTCGTTCAATGTTTATTGAGTACCCATTATGTGCCAGACACTGTGGCAGGTACCAGGAGTCCAGCTTTCACCAAGTCCGACACATCCCTGTCCTCATGGAATGTTATTACACGTTAGTAAGGGGAAACGTAATAATTACAAAACTGTATACACCAGGAAGCTAAGAAGGGCATCAGATAGAGAATAAATTCAACACTCAGGAAGGCTCTTGGGAGCAAGTGGTATTTAAGCCCACAACTGCGGGGTGGGATGTGGCAGCTAGTAGGCGTAGGACAGGGAGATCTAGGTTGTTCAAAGTCTCAGCCACAGGGAGAGGAGTTCAGGATCTGTAGGGGACGGGGAGTAGAGCTGTAGAGGAGGAGGTGATTGGGAGTGGGAGGTGGGAGGTGTCAAAGAGTAAGCGAGGGAGTAAAGATGAGGCCAGTTGTGGGGGGGCCACAGTGAAGAGAGAGGGAGACAAGCACTTAAGAAGGCGTGGTGACTGGGTTTAGAGGGCTTTGGGGTTGAATCTAATGGTGAATTCAGGTAAGGGGACGGGAAGAGAGGTCACTTCCTCCCTGGCTACTTTGGGAATGAGATACCCCTGTTTAAGTCTTGAGGGAGGCACAGCCTTGCCCACGGACGGGAGAATGGATGAAAAGCCTCGGGAAGAGCCAGACTGGGCCTGTAGGACAGCCGCCTCCTTCTTTTCTGTGGCTCGGGCGCGACAAAGACGACCTGGAAGGGGCCCGGCCCGCTGGCTCCTGGCTGGTGGAAGAGAGCAGACCTAGCCAGGGCTCGGAGCTGGGCATGGGCAGGAAACCGGGCCAGGAGACCCTTCCTCTGAACTTTGTGCTCCTTTTTCATCCTCACCGCTCTGCTTCCCTTCTGCAAAAGCCCATCTCTTTGCCCATCCTGGGTCCTATGACTTTTCTCTCCCTCAACAGTCGGTTCCCGATTCTGGTCCCCGGCCCCCAGCAGCGCCTGCCCCCTTCCCACCGGGGCCCCCCATGATGCCACCACCCTTCGTAAGTTTTATGTCTTTCCCTGGGCTTGGCTTTTCCAGCCTGCATCCCCATGTCCCCGGTCCCTAGCACCGCTGCATTGCCAGCACGGTTTTGTGTCCTGCCTCCTCTGGAAAAGGGGTGGTGTTGCTTGGGCATTGGGGTGGGAGGAGCTGCTGTTGAACTCCCAGTCCCTAAAGTCGACAGCTCCCCTTTGTCTTTTTGTCCTTGGGACACACTGGGGCTGGGGTAGGAGAAGTGGAAGGGAAAAGATCCTGTTAGTGTGAGGGCATGGTGGGGCTGCCTTTCTCTTTCACTACTCCTTCTCTGTTCTTTCAATATGCCACAGAAGTCAGGCTGAAGTAGCAGCTGGTGGTCATCGAGCTGGAGAACAAGGGATGGGAGGCAGGGGACTGGGGCATTTGGGAGCCTGGAATCCTGCCTTCTGGCCCTGCCTCGGAGAGGCCTCTTTGGGGAGAGTTGCTGAAGAGATGGAGCCTTCCGGCCACAGTCTGGTGGCAGTTAGACTTTTCCCTCTCCCTTCCCTACCTCTGAAGAAGCTGTGTGCTTGCCTGTTAGACCCAGAAGCCCCCCCCCCTTTCCCCCCCACAGTTTTCAGTCTTTCTCGGTGGTGAGGAGCAGGCAGTTTCACGCTTTGTGCTTCTCAAATTAAAGCCTCGGAATTGCCTCAGAGCCAGGGTGGAGGGGCGAGAAGGGTGGGAGACAAGTGGATATTCCCTGACAGGTCCAAGGCGGGGTCTTCTCTGCTCAGTGTCCCTTCCTTTCCTCACTTCCAGATGCCCCCTCCAGGAATCCCCCCACCCTTTCCTCCGATGGGACTACCCCCCATGAGTCAGAGACCACCAGCCATCCCCCCGATGCCACCTGGCATCATGCCCCCAATGCTGCCACCAATGGGGGCGCCACCGCCACTCACGCAGGTAATCCTGTCTCCCGCACCAGTGCCTCAGGAAACCCCGGGAGTCCGGCTGGGGGTGGAGGTGAGAGTGGGCGTCTGGAGCTCAGGAAGTAGAGAAGTGAAGAGAAGAGTAGAGCTTTGGCTCGGCCCGTGTGGCTTTGTCTGCCGAATGACGGAAGAAAACTCTCTGGCTGGGCTGAGAGCCCAGAACCTGGGGATTGTCTAAGTGGCGGGGGGGGGGCCCATGTGAAGGCCACGGCTCCGCCCAGGAGCTCTCAAGAGCCTGCCTTACCTGTGCCTGCCCTCACCTCGGTAGTTGTGTCTCGTCTTCTTTGTGTCCCTAGATACCAGGAATGGTACCGCCCATGCTGCCAGGGATGCTGATGCCAGCGGTGCCTGTCACCGCAGCGGTAAGCACTGGGGGCCGGCAGGAAGCAGGCCGTGCCCTGCAGCCCTGTGGGTCTGACTTGGAGCACAGGGATCCGGCCTCCACTCTTTCCCTCTTCTCATCCATCTGTCCCGGTCCCGGCCGCACTCCCCACACTCAAGTCCTTCTCTCTGGCCACGTACTCTGCTCTTTTCGTTTCTCGCTCACCCCCAAAGGCATGTTACTCTCTCGTTACTCCTTTTTGTGCCCAGCTCCCATAAGGAACACACTCGTGGCTGACACGCTTCCCCTCACAGAGCTAGCACTGTGGACACTTGAATACAGGCCCTCCTCACATCTTCTTTGTCGCTGGCAGAAGCAACAGCACCTGGGGATCTCACTGTACCTTCTTGTGCCAGTGCTCAGTGTAGTGGAGTCTGGGTAGGATGTAGCAGTTGGCATCCACTGTGGAAGAGGGGCCTCGGAGGTTGACTCAAAAAAATACTCTCACTTGAGGAAAGCAAAGAACAGAGCTGCTTTGCGGTTCCCCCTAGGATCCTACAGCCACGGCTCCAGAGGGTGGGGGATGCCTGTTAGGGAGCAGAGGTCCCTGGGAGCAGGACACATGGATCCTGGCCTGGCCTGCTTCTTCATCCCCCATGGCCTGGGTCCTGGGGGCCACTGGGCTTGGCCCCAACCCTTCCCCCTCCTCTTTCTTCGGCAGACGGCTCCGGGTGCGGACACAGCCAGCTGTGAGTCTTCTGGGGGTCTGCTCCCCCCAGGCTCGGAGGTTGGGGGGGTCCAGGGGAGAGGGGACCGTGGACTAGAGCCCACCCTGGATCATGCCTGTTGGGATGCCAGGGAGCCTGGGATGTTGATGGGACCAGGGGATATTTATTGGGGACGGAGTAGGGGAGGAGTAGGTGGGATAAGATGGATGTCGGGGCAAGGCCTTAATATCTCTCTTGGCTGCTTTTCTAGCTGCTGTGGCTGGGACAGGCCCTCCGGTGAGTTCTTCCAGCCCAGGGGTCTCTGGGTAGAAAAGCTGAAAGGTGGGGGGCTGATGGTTAAATCTTTGGGGTAAGGAGGAGAAGCTTTGGGGATGGGGCCTTGACCACCATTCTCTGCCCTCCCTCCCCCCAGAGGGCCCTGTGGAGTGAGCATGTGGCCCCTGACGGGCGCATCTACTACTACAACGCAGACGACAAGCAGTCCGTGTGGGAGAAGCCCAGCGTGCTCAAGTCCAAGGCAGAGGTCCTGAGCGGGGCTTTCTGGCCCTTCCTCTCAGCTTCCCTGACCCTCCCAAGTCCTTGGCCTCCCGAGGCTTTAACCATACACATGGTTCCTCTGATCCCAAGATCCCTGACCATTCCGCCAGCCTCCCTGGGATCTCAGGAAGTCTGCCTTCCCCCATGTTGAGCCAGGCCAGGTGGTAGCCAAAAACTCCCGACTCGCTGGATCCCTTCAGCTCCCCCGACTGTAGCGAGAGGGCATGCCCAGCCCCCTGATGTCCTCTGACCCGTCCTCTTGTAGTTGCTGCTGTCCCAGTGTCCCTGGAAAGAGTACAAGTCTGACACGGGCAAACCTTACTACTATAACAACCAGAGTAAGGAGTCTCGCTGGACCCGGCCCAAGGACCTGGATGACCTGGAGGGTGAGGAGGGGGTGGGGCCTGGGCTGCGGTGCTGGGGGGTGGCCCTCGCCACCCTGTGACCATGTCATGTTTTCCCCTTGCAGCTCTAGTCAAACAAGAGGCGGCAGGGTGAGTGACTTGCGCACTTGCCCCCTGTACTTGGGGCCGCCAGACGGGTGGGAGTGGACCCTCTCTCTGTGGTCCCTGCTCTGTGGAAGAGCCAGCTCTCAGTCTCGTTGTGGAGTGGCCCGCTCGGGCCCCAGTCCTTCGCAGGCCCCTGACTGGCCCTCTCTCTGCCGCACGCCTGGACCCCGCCCTCCCGGCCCGCCTGCAGGAAGCAGCCCCAGCCCCAGATACTGCAGCCGCAGCCACCTCAGCCCCAGCCTGAGCCCCCGCCTGGGCCGCCTGGCCCCACCCCCATGCCCCTGGGCCTTCTAGAGCCTGAGCCAGGTGGGAGTGAAGATTGCGATACGTCAGAGGCTGCCCAGCCTGTGGAGCAGGGGTTTCTGCAGCAGCCGGAGGAGGGCCCCAGCAGGTGAGGGCTGCTCCCCTGAGGCATTCCAGAGGCTGGCTTCAAGCTCCCAGCCTAGTTCAACCCTTGATTTCTGCCAGGCCTCTTGGGAAGGGTGTGAAGATCTGGGGCATGGCCTCTGGAGGGCAGAGAAGGGCTGCTTTGGGGAGCGAGGAGAGGGTGGCGTACTCCTGACCACATAGGGCACTCAAAGCTGTGGGGCCTGGGAGATGCTGTGGCTGAGTCCCCTTTGCCCCCCAGTGCTGCTGGACAGCATCAGCCACCACAGCAGGAGGAAGAGGAATCAAAGCCAGAACCAGAGAGGTCTGGCCTCAGTTGGAGCAACCGGGAGAAGGCAAAGCAGGCCTTCAAGGAGCTGCTGAGGGACAAGGTGCGGGGGTGGGGTGCCCAGGGTAGGCCCGGAGGGGGCTGGAGGTGGGCAGGCCCCATGACCCCTGCCTGCTCCATTCTAGGCTGTCCCCTCCAATGCCTCGTGGGAACAGGCCATGAAGATGGTGGTCACCGACCCCCGTTACAGGTAGGCCTGGGCAGAGGGAGCCAGGCCCTCCAGACTGTTTGTGAGCAGCTGGGCCAGGGCCTCCCTGAGAAGCCCCAGCTCAACACTCAGGCCCCAACAGGGCCCGAGTCAGGAGAATGGTAGAAGGGCCAGGGAAAGAGAAGCTGGAGGGCCTCCAGGAGGAGGAGGGGAAAGGTATCTGACATGAGACGTTCAATAAATGCTTGTTGAACTGAATTGATTCGAATTGAGTTAATTGGGGTGAGGGGGCTGGATAGGGTGGAGGCCTGAATGCACTTTGAGAGCCTCAGAGCAAAAGGGCTGTTAGTGTCTTGGAGCCCCGTCCTCCCTCACTGCCTCCCATCCCTCCCCTCCTCCCAGAGACCCGTCTTGCCTCCCTGCAGCCTGCTGTGCCCATGCATGGACCCCGCACTCAGTTCTGTGTGCTGTGACCCTGCTTGGCGGGCTGTGCAGGGTGCCTCCTCCACCCGCACCCCACTCCCACCCTTTCCACCCCAGTGCCTTGCCCAAGCTGAGTGAGAAAAAGCAGGCATTCAATGCCTACAAGGCGCAGCGGGAGAAGGAGGAGAAGGAGGAGGCCCGGCTAAGGGCCAAGGAGGCCAAGCAGACCTTGCAGCATTTCCTGGAGCAGCACGAACGCATGACCTCTACCACCCGCTACCGGTCAGGGGGCCGGGCTGGGGTGGGGGCCGGGAACCCGGAGAACCCAAGGGCCTGGGGTCTCTGTCCCCTGCCTGCCTACCCACGGCCCATATGCTCCACAGGCGGGCAGAACAGACCTTTGGGGAGCTGGAGGTGTGGGCTGTGGTCCCTGAGAGGGATCGAAAAGAGGTTTATGATGATGTCCTCTTCTTCCTGGCCAAGAAGGAGAAGGTAACAGTCATTGGCTGGATCCGTCAGCCTGTCTTACTTGAGGCTTTTCATGTCTTTGCATCCTTGTGGACCCCGGCCATTCATTTCCCCACTGCCCCAGGGTTTCAGCTCCTTCCTCGGAAGCTGGTGCGGCACTTGCACATCCCCCCACTTCTGCTTGGGGACCTACAGCCTGGGTGTGGGAGGGCAGGAGGGCATCTGTGAGGGGTTGATCCGTAACCTGTGCTCCTTCCCCTTTCTGGGGGCGCGGAAGTCTTGAGTGTGGCCCTGCTAGGGTTCCCTAGCTGCCTGCTTTTCCCCAAATGCTCCTCTGCCCAGGCCCACTTGACTAGCTCTGACCTGCCTTACCTCACCCTGACCCTGACGCTGTGGCTCCCCAGGAACAGGCCAAGCAGCTCCGGCGCCGCAACATCCAGGCCCTGAAGAGTATCCTGGATGGGATGAGTAGTGTCAACTTCCAAACTACATGGTCCCAGGCTCAGCAGTACCTCATGGATAACCCCAGCTTTGCTCAGGACCACCAGCTGCAGAGTAAGCTTGGGTCTCCGCTCCCGCCTGTCCCTTCCCCCTTTCCTCACTGACCTGGGACCCCAGGGCCTGCCTCCTGTTGGTCCCCCACACTTCCTGCCCTCCTGGATGTCCAGGGGTCCTCAGCATTCGCCCTGTCCCTGCATCTCTCCAGAGTCTGGAGATGCTGGAATGCTGGGACACCCCCTCCCTCCCTCTGGGGTCCGCTGTTGACCTGGACATTGTGTGTCCTTGGAGGAAGAGCTCTAGGATAGGCGTCAGAAGACCAGGAGAGGATGATTTTTCCAACTCCTGTGAATATGGTCTTAAACTGTCATGCTGTGGCCCTTAACTGGTCACATGTTACGATGAGCTGTTCTTGGCCTGCAGTCATTGGCAATATCAGAAATAGACCTTCTGAACTTGCATCAAAGCCTGATTGATTCCCAGTTCCATGAAACATAAGACCTCAGATCCCGAGATTGCTGGTTTCATGTGATTACTTCCAGTAACTGAATTCCCAAGAGCAGAATGCGTGCTGATTTTGCTCTCATACGTTAATGAACCCTCCTCCAGAACCACCATTCCAGTCTCCTCTCCCACAGAGGTCTCTGCTCCTCTTGCCCCACCACCCTGGGTGACCCGGTGCCTACTGAGGCAGCACCCTCGAACACGGGGCCGGGGGGAGGTTGCCGGGGTCGGTGAGGGTGTCCCACGGGTGCGGTGCCCGCTGAGCCTCCTCCCTGTGCTTAGACATGGACAAGGAAGATGCACTGATCTGCTTCGAGGAGCATATCCGAGCTTTGGAGAGGGAGGAGGAGGAGGAGCGGGAGCGGGCCCGCCTTCGGGAGCGGCGTCAGCAACGCAAGAACCGGGAGGCCTTCCAGGTATGTCTGCAGCCCGCTGGATGGGCGCTCAGCTCCGCCCCGGCCCGTAACCTCTTTGCCCATGCCCTGCCTCCTCTCGGCTAGGCCCGCTGTTTCGTCTCTGCCCGGTCCTGTGTGCCACCCCTGCAAGGCCGCTGTCCGCTCCTGCTGTGCGCCCTCAACCTGGGGCCATGCTCCGCTAGGGAGACTAGATGTATGCACCACCCGGAAACTGCCAGCAGAGAGCACCCGAAAGGCACCACCTGCAGCTCGGCCCAGTTCATTTCCCTTTGGTGGGGAGCCAGATGGGCAGAGCTAGCTTGTCCCACAGCTTGGAGGTGGCGGCGGTGGTGGTAGTGGTGGGGGTTCCTTAGCTCTAACACTTTGGGAAGCTGAGAGCAAACCGCGGGAAGGGCACGTTGCAGACAGGTTTCTGTTTCTCTGCCTCCCAGCCCGGCTGCCCGTCACATTCGAGTCAGCCCCTGTCTGTATTTACATTCTCTCTGTTTCCACTGCTCTCTGCCTCCTTTGCCTGCATTTCCTCAGTCTGGGTTGTCCCGGCCTCTCCCTCCCATCCCTTCTCTTCCTCCCCAGTCTCTGGCTCTGCCTCTCTCTCTGGCTCACTCTCCCTATAACTGGCCTCTCCCTGCTCAGACCTTCCTGGACGAGCTGCACGAGACAGGGCAGCTGCACTCTATGTCCACCTGGATGGAGCTGTACCCAGCGGTCAGCACTGATGTCCGCTTTGCCAACATGCTGGGCCAGCCGGGTAAGGCAGCCAGGCACCCCCTGCTCTGGCCTGGCTTCCTGCCCTGCCAGCCTCTCTGCACCCCCCACTCCCTCGACCTGTCCTCGACCCCTCCCCCAGGCCTCGGGAAGCTGCCGCCCGCCAGGCCCCCCTCCCTCCCTCCCCTGCAGGCTCCACCCCTCTGGACTTGTTCAAGTTCTATGTGGAGGAGTTGAAGGCACGATTCCATGATGAGAAGAAGATCATTAAGGACATCCTTAAGGTGAGGGAGGCCCAGGGTTGTGGCTGGAGGCCGACTGGGTGCAGGGCACCTTTCTGGACAGGACTCCCTGATAAGTCCTGTATTGCAGGAGCAGCATAGCTCCGTTCAGCAGACATCTACTGTGATCCCTGACTGTGCGCTGGGGACACAGAAATAAGAAAGATGCAGTTTCTGTCCATAAGGAGCTCATGGCCTAGTAGGAAGATAAACATGACACCTATTCTACAGAGGGGCAAGTGCTGTTAGAGACGAGAGTCAACAGAATTGACCTTTGCGCTACGCCTTTAAGAACGAGTAGGTGGATGAGGCTGGTGGTTCCTGGGCATAGGGTATTACAGGAGCGGAGGCAAGGGAGTGGGAAGGGCCTGGCAGGCTTGAGGAGCAAGGGGCCCAGCTCATCATAAGCCAGCAGCTCACAGATATGTTCCTTCTGGCCTGTACAGTGCTTTAGAAACATTTCAACTTTGTTGCTAACATTTTAAAATTGGGAGATTATACAGAAAAACTTCTCTTAAAAATACAGATTATCTAGCAGCACGGCGCTGGTTTTGCAAGGTGTTCAGTGGCCTCAGGCTGAGAGGGCATTGCTTTTTAGAAGGGGCATGCCATCCTTAACCTCCCGCTCCTGCCACCCCTCTGGCGTGGCAGCCACTTAACGCTGTGCGCACACCTTGCTTGTCTTACACCGGAGAGACAGTTCTCAACGTCTGTGTCCATCAAAGGTGGAAAAGGGATTGCTGCCCTAAGAGAGCCTTGTGTTTCAGAAGGAAAAAACAGAGAGAAAGCATATTTCTTGGTGGAAGTGAAGGACGGGCAAAGGCGCTGGGGAGGCGGTACGCCCAGCAGTTAGGAGTAGCACTATGGAGGCGGACTGCTTGGGCCACAAGTCCAGCTTACCACTTACTAGTTGTGTGACCTCCAGCAGACTATTTAACCTTTCTGAGCCTCAGTTTCCTCATCTGAAAAATGGGGGATTTTCCACCAATGTACACCTAATTACCAAGGGCGGTAACTTGGGACCTGGGGCGAGAAGGGTCTGAGAATAAATTAGGAATATCCCACTGCACACACAGCATTTCTTTGAAGTCCTGTGTTTTGCTTTGCAGATACAGGTGTTCTAATTTCATACCATATTACTTCTCTGTTTAATATAAATGTCATGTTCTAAAAGTCCTTACCATTAGGTAAGACATGCCCTATTGTTCTGTGGCTTCCTGTTTCTCTGGAACCTGAAGCTCCAGTTGGGAAGGAGAGCCCTGGGTGTAAAATGCCTTGAATGCTAAAATAAGAAATTTGGGTTTTTATCTTGTAAGTAATGGGGAGCCAGGGAATGATAGGGTCAGAGGATGTCCTGGAAGAGCCATTGGGGAAGAGTGTAGAGTAGCACTTCTCAGACCGAGTGCTTGTGTCCTTAGGGATAGGTGGTGGGAGGACAGCATTTGAAGCCTCGGGACACTGAAAAGTCACAGTGGCAAGTGATCCCACCAGATCTGGAGCTTGAGCCGCCCTCTTCCGCCTCACCCCCAGGTCCCCCCCTGCTGTTAGGGCCCTTCGGTGGGAAAGTCGGAGCAGTACAGGACTTTGGAGTACAGGTTAGAGCATGGGAGGTGAAAAGGGAGGCCAGTTGGGAGGTAGTCCAGGTGGGAAACGAGCCCAACAGAGGCAGCAGGGATGGCAGATGAGGCAGAGCTGGGCTCCAGCTCTGTTTTTCTGGGGCCCCCACCCCCACCCCTGGGTTTCCTCAGGGGTGCCTTGGGACAAGAAAGGGGGGTGGAGTTTATGCTTCTTCCTCTGTTTTTAAGTACAGCAGTTTTACTTTTGTATATTGAGGTTTGGCATAAGATTTTTGTGAGAAAAAAAATGTTTCTGCTGTTCAAAAAAGAAGTTTAAAATCAGGAGGATGGAGTCACTCAAGTTGAGTGGACAGATTTTTTGCATGTGAAATGGAGGGCAAGGAAGGAGTGAGTTGAAATTGGCAGAGGTGGGGCGATGGTATCATTAGTGAGGATTCGGTAGGAACAGGGCTGGAGAAAATAGGAATTCCATTTGGGGAATCAGTCTCAAAAGTAACCTGGGGCAGGGAGGAATAAAGCAAAAACCACATTTTAAATAGGGTATTCTTGTATAAACATCTAATTCTAGGAGAGCTACGTTTTATTGGATGCTTACACTTTAGCCACAGTATGTGGCGGGTCCTGCCGACAGGCCTATAGGAGTCCCATCCTCGCTGTGTCCTGTGTCTCCACATCTCCTGCGAAAGAAGCTTCTTTAGACAGCTCCCTCACCTCTTCCCCCTTTTGGGCTCCTGCCTACAGAAGGCCGATGAACCCAGGAGTCCCTGTGGCCGTCCACTAGCCTGGCAGACTGTGAGGGCACCTCTCACCCCATAGGATAATGCAAACAGCCTTGGACTTGGAAGAGCTGGAAGCCAGAAGATCTGGGCCTGGGAGATCCATGGGCGTGGGGAGAGGGGTGGCTCACAGAGAATGAATTCTCTTGGGCTCTGCTGAATTTGAAGTCTCTGTGATACATCCAGTCTCTTAAGGGTCTGAAAATCAGGAGGGAGGTGTAGGGGCTGAGGTAGCTAGGGGTAGTGCAGATTGAAAAGCCCACGTGCTGTTCTCGGGCACAAGCGCAGGCAAGAGAGGCAGTAAAAGAGCTCAGAGAGACCAGAGGGCAGTTGGTGACGGGAGCAGCGTACGTACAAGGACCCGTCAGGCGAGGACCGAGAAGGGGCCCTTGGAGTCGTTTCTAAGGACATGCGCACTTTTCGGAAAGTAGTGTCCGTAAAGAGGGCAGAGTAGTATAGCTCAGACCTCGGAATCAGGTAACACCTGGCTCTATGTTGGTTGAGGCCTCTGCAAGGCGTATAAAGTCTGAGCCTCAGTTTCCTCTTCTGTAGAATAGGGATCGTTTATGGGCACAGTTGTGGGAAGGGCTGATATTCGTGAAGTGCCTGGCTTGTAGTAGACTCACTAAATGTCGATTCATTTTCCTCTGTGCCGCATTTGAAGATTTTGAACCAGAGGGCAAACAGCACAGGTTGTTAGCTTGAGGAAGGTAAGAGCCGGGTGGACAGGTTGTTCCCGGTGAGGTGCGGTACGAGCTTGATGGAAGCAACCGGTGGAGAGGTGGGATTGAAGCTTTCACTTCGCTGAGGGAGATTGGGACGGTTGAGAAGGCCTGGGGCGTGGGTTGAGGAAGTGCTCTAGGAATAGACAAGAAGAGCATATTCTCCATATTGCCCACTTGAAAACTAATACAACGCTGTATGTTAACTAACCGGAAGTACAATAAGAACTTAAAAAAAAGCACACTCTGCCATGGGCGGAAGGCCGCAGCAAGTTCGTGCTGTGTGGAGGGAGGAGAAGGGGACTGGGCCTGTGTCCCCACTGACTCAAACTCCAGCGGCTCCACTTCTCACCAGATCTACTTGGGCCCAGTGAGAGAACTCTCCTAAGCCTCTGCTTTATTGAGGTGTTGGGAGGCATAGATGAGCAGCTTGGAGCCTGGCTTCTCGATGAGAAGCTTCGGGGGCAGGGGCGTATTTTTAATAGTATTCTGGAGTTGCATATGTGATGGCCTCAAATTCCCCTGAGGACTGAGTGATCTGTGTGGCTGTAGGGCTTTAAACTATGGGCTTTGGTGTTAGAAGGACCCGGGGTAGAGTTCTCAGTCAACCACATGAGAGCTCTGAGACTGTGGGCAAGTGCTCTCGCTTCTCTAGACCTTGGTTTCTCCTTCCACATAAAATTAGGAGGCCAGGACCTCTGCTTAAATTTTGATACTGAGGATTAAAAGAGATAAGGTGTGTGAAGCACTCAGCACAGTACCTGGCAGCCTAGTAAGCACCCAAGAAATAAGCCAAAGGATGGGACCGGCAGATGTTGACCGAATGCGAGGAAGTTACTGAGCAGCAGGAGGGCCCAACTGGGGCCCAGCCTTAAGCCAAAGGAACAAAGAATTACTTGTGAGAAACTCAGGCATCCGCCAGCAGATCCGGCATACACACACACACACCCTGCTCCCCCTCCCCACGGGATCCAGTGCCCCCCTCCACTCCCTGTGACATCCAGGCCAAGGGCAGGCGTGGGAGGCTTAGTCGTCAGACGATGAGGTTTCAGAAGTGCACCTGAGTCCTGTGGGTCTCTTCTGGGGGCTGGGGGACTTCTAGAGCATCCTGTGGTCCAACCCTCCGCCTGCCCTGGAGGCCGGCTTCAGGCTTCGGGCCCGTGGTGGCCCCTGCTTCATGCGCCACTGTGCCCACAGGACCGGGGCTTCTGCGTGGAGGTGAACACAGCCTTTGAGGACTTCGCCCACGTCATAAGCTTTGACAAGAGGGCGGCTGCGCTGGACGCAGGCAACATCAAGCTGACCTTCAATAGTGTGAGGGGCCGGGCGGGGCGGGGCTGTAGCCAGGGCTCCATTCTCGAGCTCATCCCCATGTCTTGTTCCGTTCCTTCTCACTCGCTGCCCCAATGTGACTGCACCCGCCCCCCCCCCGCCCCCGTTTAGGGGGTGGCGGCAGGAGCCCAGACCCCAGCTTCCCATGTCCTGCAGTATGCCTGAGTGGGGCTTGGGCACCCACCCTCCTGGGTGACCCTGCTCCGCCTCTTTTCTGTCCTCAGTTGCTGGAGAAAGCAGAGGCGCGGGAGCGAGAGCGGGAGAAGGAGGAGGCGCGAAGGATGCGGCGCAGGGAAGCTGCCTTCCGAAGCATGCTGAGGCAGGCCGTGCCTGCCCTGGAGCTGGGCACTGCCTGGGAAGAGGTCAGGGCTGCAGCCTGGCACCAAACACCACCCCCTCGGTCCTGAGGGCAGCGGTGCTTCTCCACCACTGGGGGCCCACCCCGGTCGTAGCACAGCTCGCGGGCAGCTTCGGCTCCCTTCCTTCCTCTGCCCCAGCCCTGCGCTCCTGGCGGTGTCCGCGCCTTGCCGGGGCTGGTCTGATCAGCAGTGCTCTCCCGTTCAAGGTCCGTGAGCGCTTTGTGTGCGACTCAGCCTTTGAGCAGATCACCCTGGAGTCGGAGCGGATCCGGCTCTTCCGGGAGTTCCTGCAGGTACTGGAGGTGAGGCAGAGCTTCCGATCCTCTGCATCTGTCCCGCGCTCATGAACGCCCAGTCCGGCTCAGCAGAGACCCCAGTGGCCTCCTACCCCTGGGGCTGTGCTTGCCCTGAGGTCTGACGGTGGCCGGGAGCGGCCTGAGGCCCTGGCTTGAGAGGAGGCAAAACCGGATTTTCGGGTGCAGGGTGCTTCCTGTGGCTAGCCCTGGTGCCTTCCTCACCCCTCCCTCTGCCTCTGCCAGACTGAATGCCAGCACCTCCACACCAAAGGCCGAAAACACGGCAGAAAGGGCAAGAAGCACCATCGAAAGCGTTCCCACTCGCCCTCAGTGAGTTGGTGGGCAGAAGGGCTGGGGGCGGGGTGGGGCGGGGGGGTCTTGGGGAAATAGGAACCATTTTTCTTGTTTTTTCCCTGCATCGCCTCCCCTTGGAGCGAGATTTGAAAATCCCTTTGGCCCTGGATCCTCCTCTCTGTCCCCAGTTCCCAGACTTGAGGGCTTCTGGAGCCCAGAGAACCTGTGCGCTGACATGTATCTGCTGATCTGCCCAGGGCTCTGAGTCGGAAGAAGAGGAGCTGCCCCCGCCACCTCTCCGACCCCCCAAGCGGAGAAGGCGGAACCCCTCGGAGTCAGGCTCTGAGCCCTCTTCCTCCCTTGATTCGGTTGAAAGTGGGGGTGCTGCCCTTGGAGGACGGGGCTCCCCATCTTCTCGCCTTCTCCTTGGATCAGGTGAGCGGTTGGGAGTTGGAGTAGTTGACTCCGACAAGAGGAGGCAGCGCCCTGAGGGTGGAGCTGCTCGGGAGGTCTGCACCCATCAGAGTGGGAAGAACTTTCTGCCCAGCCCCGGCAGGAACTGGGAGAAGGAAGGAAAACTGCGCTGACAGAGACTTCCTCAGCTAGCTCCCTGTCTAAAGAATGAGGACTGTGGCAGAGAAAGGAATGAGCCCGCCCTCCTCCCATGGGATTAACTGGGCATTTTCTATCTCCAGATCATGGCCTTCGGAAAGCCAAGAAACCAAAAAAGAAAACTAAGAAGAGAAGACACAAGTCGGTGCGTAGAGAGGGGGCTTCTACCCAGGGCCCTGCTATGTTGAGAGCGCGCTTCAGCCGCCTCCCGGGCTGTCCTTTACAGGTGGGCTCTGGGCTCTTACAGAACAGTCCTGAGAGCGAGACAGACCCTGAGGAGAAAGCTGGCAAGGAGAGTGATGAGAAAGAACCAGAACAGGACAAGGACAGGGAGCTCCGGCGGGCAGAACTCCCGAACCGCTCCCCAGGTTTTGGAATCAAGAAGGAGAAGGTGAGAGGCAGGCACCTGATCCCCAGCGCAGTCGGCACCCTCCGCAGGCCTCTGTGGCCTTCGGTGGAGGCTGGGGGTGAGCCGTGCCTCTGCTCCACCAGACGGGCTGGGACACGTCGGAAAGTGAGCTGAGCGAGGGTGAGCTGGAAAGGCGGCGGCGGACGCTCCTGCAGCAGCTGGATGACCACCAGTGACCCGACGAGCCGCTCTGCCTCGGGTCTGTGTGAGGCCGTGGATCCTAGGTCACCCTCACTATCTGCACTAGACTCCTTTCTCAGTCGGGTCCGTGTCCACTTTTCCTCAAGTAGCCCCGCCCCCAGCACCCCGCGGCTGGCACCTCCCCAGGTTGCTCGTGGTGTTCGAGGGTCCTCCACTTCCCAGGCAACTAGTGCAGTCCTTGCCCTCAGCCCCAGACCAGAGACCAGGATGCCACGTGGAGCGGGAGGTGCCAGGAGAGAAAATGTGAGAAGGGGCCTCTAGGGAGAATGACAGGTTGGTGACAGGCGGGGTCCTTCCCCTCTAGCACCAGTGCCTGCTCCAGCCTGCCTGGGCCCTCGGGCTCCACCACTCCTTCCTTCAGCCCCGGGACCCAGTGTATGTGTGTTTTGTTTTGTTTTGTTTTTGTTTTTTAAATAATATTTATAACATGGCCGGTGGCTCTTATATCTTCTCTGTATCCTGCTGGGGCACACTGGGGGCGGGGCTGGGGCACGCGTGGCCAGGAGAGAGCACTAGTGTCTCGTGGCAGGCCAGCCTCCCTTCGTGTGGTCGGAGCCCACCCAGCCCGGTTTGCCCTCCCCCAAGCAGACGGCGGCTCCATGTGGCCTCCTTTCTGTCCCCATGGTTTGGGTCAGGCCAAACGGCCACCCTAGTCCTCCCCCAAACCCCGGAAAGAGGAGACAGAGTCAGGCCTGGTGCTTCAAGCCTTTGTTGGGAGAGGGAAGGTCTGGGATTTATGTACACGAGAGAAGGAAGGTGGTACATGTACAGAAAGAAGTGGGTCCCTGCATTCCGCTGCAGGGGCTGAGGAGAAACCGGCAGGAGACTGAGAAAATAGTCAGCTGAGACCACCGTGCCCCCGTCTCCTGCTAAAAAAGCCCCTAGCCGTGGAAAGGAGGTGAGGGTGCTGATGACACACCCTTTCTCTAGCGATCCAGGGAGAACCTCTACCCCTCTGCCCCCCCCCAACAACAGTCAGCCTAGAGTGGAAAGGGCCAAAGGCAGTAAGCGTGGCATCTCTCCTCTACCCTTATCACCAGGGCACAGCTGGGTGGGGACTAGGCTTAGGTGGGCCTTGCTCCTGGTAAAAGGCGATCTGAGACTGGTAGGGTTCTGGGGCCCCCCGAGTCTGGATACTTCCAGACCACAGCTGATCATGGGCCTGAGAAAAGGAAGGGAGAAAAAAACAGAAGGGATAACTGCTTTCTCCGCTTGTCCCTCTGGCCTAGTGACCGAGGAGGCTGTGGGCCCCTGTATAGGCTAAAGCTAGAAATGATTTTTCCCAGCTCTGGTCTGACCCTTGGTGACCTTTCAGTCAGGAAATGAAGTTGCAGACCCTGGGGCCAAAGTGCAGTCCTGGAGGCACCAGGGAAGTGCCAGGCCCCAAAAAACCCAGGGCCCCCAGTGGCGTCAGGCACGTACAGCTTTGAGAGCTGGGGTGGACACTGGGTCGAGAGCAGCATAGCCCTGCGCTGTGCCCTCGGCCAGTTCCAGGGCTCCAGGTCCACAGGTTGGAGAGTTGAAGTGCTTCTGCCTTCGGGGGGGGGGTCTTAGTGGGGGCCTGGAGCCCGAGGGGGGCCACTGGGCGGTGCGGCACTCCTGGCTTGGTGGCGAATGACAATGGGCTGGTGATGGAGGCCTGTGGGGAAGACAGAGGCCTGTGAACACGCAAGGAGGCTAGGCTGGGCCCACCGTCTGTCGGAACAGCCCCTGAGGAGCAGCCCCACAGGCAGGGCCAAAGAAGAGCTGCTCGTGAGGCCGAGGAAGGAGAAGCTTTAAAAGAGGCTAGAGGGGATGCTCAGGGAGACTGCTGGGGCTCTGCATTTTCAGAGGACCAGGTGGGGGTGACTAGAGGCCACTGGGCAGTGGCAGAGACAAAGTAGACTCAGCAATAGCCAGAAGCTGGGGAGAGATCCCAGGTAGGCTGAAAATCAGGAGACCGATCAAGGGACATCTGATGCCCCTGGGCTTGGAAGCTACTGCCAGACCTCTTTATGGGGCGGGCGGGGGTGGGGGTGAGGGGACAAGTCACAAAGGATACCTGGGCCCAGGAATGGAGCCTCAGCCTCCGCAATGAGAGTTGGTGGCTGGGTCTTGCCTGCTCTGGAAACTCCCTGCCCCTTGGGTCTTAGTAGAAGCCAGGACAGCATTAGTGGGAGATACCACTTCCCTGAAGGCACATGCAAGGGGATAAGGCATGCTTCTCCGAGCATGGGGCATGCAAGTAGAGAAGTATGTGCCCCTATCACCGTGAGGCTGCCAGAGGATGGTTCCAAGTCATGCAGGGGAGGAGGTGCCTGGGGGCCCAGCAGGAGTCCTGGGAGGCGGGCATGCAGAGGGGGCAGCTGTGGTGCCCAGTACCTGTCAAGAGCCCCAGCGTTGGGGGTTAACAGTTTGACTCATCATGGTGGGCTGCATCGCAGAAGAAGCGTGAGCCCCGCTTGGCAGTACGGGCCGTGAAAGGGACACTCTTCAACACTGTGGCCCAGGAAAGAGACACAGTGGTCAGGCCTCGTGGGGAGGGGGGGGCGGAGAGCCCAAAGGCGCAGGGTTGGAGTTTGGGAGCTGGGCCTAGCGGCCAGGCCCAAAGAAGGGACAAGGGCCCCACCTGTAATGATGTCCTCAATGGTACCATCCTTCCCTTCATAAACAGGCCGATGCTCCTTGGCCTGGCGCCTCCTCAACTCTGCAATTAGCTCCTGCTGTTGCCACTTGTTCCGCTGAGATGGGGTCTAGGGCCGAGCATTGAAGGGGAAGGGAGTCATCACTAACCTACCACGGGGCTGGTTCCTGCCCGAAGATGCAGTCTGAGGATGCCCTTAATTGTACACAGCAGCCCACCCCTGATCATTGCTTAGGAATCCCCTCCCAAAGCCCCTCTCCCCATCCCTTTGGACTCCAGCCTCGGACCCTCTGGGTGGTCTCTCGGTTCCAGTTTTCCCTCTCTCGAGTTCTCTCTCCACCCCCTCCTAATCCTCTCCTCCAGGCCCCAGCTCTTGGTCCCACCCACCTTGGCATCCAGTTTCTTGGCTTCCTGAGCCAGCTGCTTCTCCCGCATTACCTCCTCCTGCTTCTTTCTAGCTTCGTTCTCTTGTTCTGCTTCCTAAGAACCATGGCGGGGCGGGGGGGGGGGGGGGGGGG